CTTTCGGGTTACCGCATACTAATATCTCTATAACCCTAGTGTCACCGAACCTTAAGTGTGTAGACCCTACGGGTTCGGGAGACATGCAGACATGACCGAGATGACTCTCCGGTCAATAACCAACAGCGGGATCTGGATACCCATGTTGGCTCCCACATGTTCCACGATGATCTCATCGGATGAACCACGATGTCAAGGACTTAATCAATCCCGTATACAATTCCCTTTGTCTAGCGGTATGATACTTGCCCGAGATTCGATCGTCGGTATCCCGATACCTTGTTCAATCTCGTTACCGGCAAGTCTCTTTACTCGTTCCGTAACACATCATCCCGTGATAAACTCCTTGATCACATTGTGCACATTATGATGATGTCCTACCGAGTGGGCCCAGAGATATCTCTCCGTTTACACGGAGTGACAAATCCCAGTCTCGATTCGTGCCAACCCAACAGACACTTTCGGAGATACTTGTAGTGTACCTTTATAGCCACCCAGTTACGTTGTGACGTTTGGCGCACCCAAAGCACTCCTACGGTATCCGGGAGTTGCACAATCTCATGGTCTAAGGAAATGATACTTGACATTAGAAAAGCTTTAGCATACGAACTACATGATCTTGTGCTAGGCTTAGGATTGGGTCTTTGTCCATCACATCATTCTCCTAATGATGTGATCCCGTTATCAATGACATCCAATGTCCATGGTCAGGAAACCGTAACCATCTATTGATCAACGAGCTAGTCAACTAGAGGCTTGCTAGGGACATGGTGTTGTCTATGTATCCACACATGTATCTGAGTTTCCTATCAATACAATTCTAGCATGGATAATAAATGATTATCACGAACAAGGAAATATAATAATAATCAATTTATTATTGCCTCTAGGGCATATTTCCAACAGGATCTTCATCAACCTCTCCTCCCCCCTTGCTGGATCAAGAAGGAGGAGACGTCTTCCCAACCGTACGTGTGTTGAACGCGGAGGTGTCGTCCGTTCGGTGCTTGGTCATCGGTGATTTGAATCACGACGAGTACGACTCCATCATCCACGTTCTCTTGAACGCTTCCGCACGCGATCTACAAGGGTATGTAGATCCACTCCGACCACTCGTTGCTAGATGAACTCATAGATAGATCTTGGTGAAACCGTAGAAATTTTTTTGTTTTCTGCAACGTTCCCCAACAATTATGTGCTGATTACCGTCACGTCAACGCCATTGCAGTCAAGAACATATCCCTTATGCAGTTGTTGAGGAGTTACTGCATGAATTAGCTGGGGAAGTGTAATTCACTAGCTTGGATCTCAATACAGGTTACCACCATATATATTGGGATGGCACTGGAAGATGAGTTCAAAACAACTTTCAAAACAGATTTGGGGCACTATGAATTCAAAGTCATGTCGTATGGGCTTGCATGTGTGCCAGGAACCTTTAAGGGAGTGATGAATTTTGTATTCTCACCACTTATTCGCCAAGGAGTACTGGTGTTTGTTAGTGACATTTTGGTCTATAGCCACACATTGGAGGAACATGTTAGGCTACTCAAATAAGTGTTTGAACTGTTGGAGAAACATCGGCTTAAAATCAAAAGATCCAAGTGCAAGTTTGCTCATCAAGAATTGACATATCTGGGGCATGTCATTAGTACCCAGAGAGTGTCCACCGATGTGAAAAAAATCCCTGTTATTAAGGACTGGCCCACTCCCAAATGTGTCCAACAGGTGTGGGGATTTTTGGGCTTGGCAGGGTACTACAGAAGGTTTGTCCAAGATTTTGGTCTCGTCGGCCGGCCTTTGACAAATCTGTTGAAGAAGATCTCAATATTTGTGTGGAGTCCGGAGGTCGAGGAGGCATTTCAACATCTTAAATCAACACTGGTCAGAGCGCTCGTGTTTGATTTACCACAATTTGACAAGCCTTTTGAAATAGAGACAGATGCATGAGACTCTGGTGTTGGGGCAGTGCTCATTCAAAATGTGCACACAGTTTCCTTCCTCGGCAAGGTGTTGGGGCCCAAGAAAACCGGGGGTCATCCATGTACGAGAAGGAGCTTGTGGCGATAATGTTAGCACCGGCACTCTTACCTTCAAGGGGGCGTATTCATCATGCAACATCAGCTGCTAACAATAAGCATGGGGAGACCATCTCTTCATTTGACACACATCCACCATGATGACTCGGAGAATGTAGCAAAAAACATGCAAACTTAGAGGGGAGATAGGGATAAATTGGGCTGGAGACGGTTACAGCTAAATTGGCATGGAAATTTTTATAGTTTTTTAGAATTACCATTGATCCTAAAACCATAATTTTAAATTTTGTGTTTGGCTTCAATAAATATTTTGTTTAAAGAACAATGGTATTCTAGATTTTGCCCACCGCATGTTGAAGATACGTTGCTGCAATGTTGAACAATTTAAAACCAATCCATTCATTGTACTCCCTCCTTTTCGGTTTTATAAGGCTCAATTTGGTTGTTCCTCATCACAAGTTCAGATTCCGAGGTGCATTAAATCATTGCATGCAAGTATTAGGAGAAAATTTACCAATGCATATACTTTATACATGCATGTATCGCAATTAATGCATTGGTAAACATAATTTTTTGAGGAAAACAAGAACATTAATTTGGTGCTTTTTCAAACTACAAAAAGTATTTCACCACTCACCATCTACCTTGGTTAGTGAGATTTTTGAATTGAGCCCTATAAACCGGAAAGGAGGGAGTAGTCAACGGTACCAAAGAAGTATATCCCCTCACTAACCCGCATGCACACACCGCATCCTTTTGGATCAAACATATGTGTACAGGCTGGTTGGTGTAGTTAAGTCTGCGTTTGATAGCAAGGTGTTACAAAAACCAAAGTATTGAAAAACTACGGTATTTTAGCCCGTTGGTGGAAGATACCACAGTTTTGACATATCAAAGTATTTTGCAGTATTGGGAACACTGTGACCTATTTGGTCGGTGCTTTATTATGCAACAACGTAATTAGCTAACTAGCTAGCCAGTTGATAGCAGCTACAAACACGCATGTTCCTAGCTAGTTGCAATCACTCAATGGTTTGGTTGATCAGAGTTGATTAGTTGGGTATGGACACTCGTATGTTGTGGCCGACATCGATAGACAAAAAACGCACGAGCAAGAACAACAGCAACTCAGCTTTGCAGAGTAGCAAGCTTGAGCCCAGCAGGATTTGCTTGCCCCGTTCCTCCCGGCTACCTTGGTGGAGTTAGACGCAGTGGCGGAGACAGGGGGGACCAGCAGGGGCCCTGCCCCCCCCCCTAATACAACTGATTTAAGCCTAATATACATCTGAACAAGTGATTATTTGCTATGAAAATGGTGTATTATGGTGGGCTGGCCCTCCCTGACGAGGCTCAGCAACACTCGGCCCTCCTCATCCTTTTTTCCTGGCTCCGCCACTGGTTAGACGGGGGCCGACATGGAGAGGCAGTGTACGACGACCCAACAAGCTACCAATGTATAGTTCATCGTTGCAGCTAGCACAGCAGAGGCAAAGCGCTTCAGGGCAGCAAGTTCCAGGCGGACCACACTGACGTAGCATAGCTCAAGGACGAGATCCGGCAGAACAAGGTCTCCGAGCGGAAGCAATGGGAGAATGAAGGAGGGGCAGCAACGGTTTGAAGCAAGGAAGAAGATAACAGGGACCCTTTCTTTCTCGAGCTCAGTTTTAAAAAAAAGAGGTACGGGGTTGTTTTTTTAAAACAGAGATAATACCACGGTTTTGCAAATAATGCAGTATTAAAAAGATAGTTTCCAATGGCAGCCAAACACCTTGTTGTAACTAAAACTATGGTAATCTGAAAAAATTGCAGTATTCTTAGAATACTTTAAAAATACTGAGCTACCAAACGGGGTATTTTGCAGCATATCTTATACATAGCACAAGATGTACACAATTGCATACTTTCTGCTAAGAAAATCCTGATTACAGACCTGAATAGTTGCACACTGTATAATCCTTGCCGTAGAGAATTGTGCTTTGGTATTGTAACTAGAATAGCTAGCTATAAAGAAATGATTTCAACATCCAGAACAAATGCAGCACAAGAAACATTTGTACCTGTTACCCTGTGTCTCTGTCGATTCGAATAAAAAAACGTGTGTGCCCATCGGGCAGCTCCATGCCTCGCTAAATTAAGGCCAAACCGAAGCTGCAGATGTACTATATATGTACTCCTACATACGCAGAGTTACTGAATTAATGATGCCTAGACTGATAGTGCATCACGGCATCGGGAAGGCGATCGGCATGCACTTCCATGCCACCGTACTCCGACAATCTGTGTGCCAGCGACGGAGCGACGGCGGTAGTGGGCTGTATGCACATGCGCCCATAGACGTCGGCACCGGCTGGAAAAAAGCCATGTTGCTGATGTTGGAGCGCGGCAAGCGAGTAGGCAGTGTCGGCGCCGGTGGCCATTATCATCCTTGAGCCACGGTGGGCGGCGAGGGGGCTTGGGTGCCCGTGGCGGCCCTCGTAGGTGGTGACAACCATGGAAGGGTCCTGCTGCGACCGCTCCACCAGCTTCTTCACCCCACACTGCGCAGCCGTGCACCGGTAGTAGCTCCTGCACGCGTTTCAGAATCTCACTTCAATGCAATGCATTGCTAAATTGTTGTCGTAGCATATGGCTGCCCTGACCATGCATGCATGCACACATACATATTTTTCATGAGGATTCTAGCAAGATTTATTAATTGCTGTCTAAATATGCATATCGTGATGCCTAATCAAGATGATTACATGTGTTGTGTGTCGTAGAAACTTTAATTTCAAGCAAGAGATTGTGTTGTTCAAACTTAGAAAGATGATCATCGCAACGAAAGTGAAATGTTATTTTTTTGTAGAAGTTATTTGTTTCTCTCCGATTTCACTAACGAAAGCAAGTTGCGGTCATATTACAGTCCTGCAATTCGACTCAGAACATTTGGGGTACCATCTCTAAACTGAAGTTGCAAGCTCACTACAGGAGCAAAACTGAGAAGTGGAAGGCATGTTTTTTCTTTTCGAAACACATACGCATAGGGGTGAATGTAAGGAGGTAGTACCTTGGGAAAGAACTGTTCTTGACGGCCTTCTGGCCATACTTGCGCCAGCGGTAGCCATCGTCGAGGTGGTCGACCTCGCTCTTGGTTGCGAAGGCCACACGGGAGCCGCGCGCCTTCTTCTCCCCCTTCCCCTTCTTCTTCTGCTCCTTCTCGTCGCTCCTGCATCAGTCGGTCAACACAATGAGGAGCATCCTTAGTAATTTTAAATTATTCGTTTTTGACTTGATAATTTCGCCATGGTAACCGCCAGTTCAATTTCTACATGCAAAGTGGAACTAAGCAAGAAGTTGCCGGGAAAACTAGCTAGTTATCTGCCGTTCGATCACTGCCAGTTGATCTACATCGAACGGTCGGTTCTTGTTTTATTTCTTTTGATTGAAAAACAGGGGTGAAACCCCTACTTCCATTTCATTCAGATGAAGCCACAGCGCCAACAACAACAACATCCTCTGTCTCTCGGTACAAAGCAGCACCGCTACAATCAGTAAAATAACAAGATGAACTCAAGGGGTAGGGAAAACAACAATTCAAAAGATAGACATCTAACAGACACATGCCTCATCCAAGAATGATAGGATAAGATTTGTTTGTTTGGAATGGTAGGTAGGTAGTAGGTGGCAAGTTGACGGATGGCGAGCCCTAAATCCTAGTGTTCACATCTCACACGGTATGCCACGTGCGGCAGTATCTTCGCGTTCAGACCGGCCGGCCGAGAAGATCAATGGAGACCGGGATCGATCTGCCAAGAACACGTACCAGTGGATCTACAATTCTCCCCTCTAATCAACAAGTCATACGAACACATGTGATAGATGGTCGGTGGATGGGCAAGAAATCCATCAAATTCGAGCTAGATTCAATTAGCAAACGGTTGTACACCAAGATTGAATTGCACACGTACCTGTGGTTGTGATGATCAGCCGATCCGTCCTCGTCTCCCTCCTCCGGCACCGGACTGCCTCTCTTGCATCCGTGGGACTCAGCCCCCGCCGCCTCGCCGGACGTCGACGAGTTGGGCGTGACCGGGGTCGCCGTCTCGCCGATCACGTCTCTCATCGCCGGGTAGCACGGAGGCGCGTCCAGGTGCCTGGCGAGCTCCGCGGGGTCGAGGAGCCCCTGCAGGTAGTCGGTGATGCTGGAGTAGACCGACGGCGTGACACCACCATCGCCTTCACCGCCGCACGCCGAACGACTCTGGAAGAAGCCGTCGTCGGCAGGCGGATGGTCGCCGTAGAACTGGCCGCCGCCGAGGTCTTCTCCGCCTGCTGCTGCTGACCCGGACATGGAGTGGTGCATGCGCGAGGTGAGGTTTGGGAGCTGGTGAGATCGAGGTCGGGCGTTGAATGGGAGCCGAGGGGAAAGGCCGGCGGGCGTTGAACGGAGGCGCAGTAGTCGTCTTTGCCCCTTTGGGAGGTGCAAGCAAGATACGACTATGACCTTCACCTTTGGCTGTGTGCTCGCGCGCGTCGTGGTACTAGAGCAACTTCAATGGGGCGACCCATTTTATCCATTTAGATCGTCCGGACAGAAAATATGACCCAACGGGACGACCCAAACGAACATAGCGTCCGCCCGCTGTCCGCTTATTGTCCGTTCCGGACCCAAATTAAACGCAAATATGGGAACAAATGGGTCCGCGGCGGACAAAAGCGAGCGCTCGCGTCGTCCGCTCCCATCCGCCTGGTGGCCTCTCGTGTCCACCAAGGCCCCACAAATCAGCGGCCCGCGCCTTCCCCTTTTCTTCCCACAAATCGAGGCGCGGCATTCCTGGACCAGAGCTCGGGGAGGGAATCGAGCTCCCTCCCATGGCCACCAGGGTCCTCGACACGCTCGCGCTGCGCTGGATCTCCTCCCTCTCCGCCGCGCTTGATCTCCTCCCTCTCCGCCGTGGTCCAGGTCACCGTGTTCGCCGGGCGAGGGGTCGCCGTTGGCGTGTCTATCCACTGCCGGCTGGCCGCCGCGGGGTCAGTCGCTGTCGGGCTCCTTGCCGCGGCACGCCTGGGCCACGGCGCGGCGCAGCGAGCTCGGGTCGGGCGCGGCGCAGCGAGCTTGGGGCCAGGCTCGGGGCCGGTCGAGGTGGCCCTGCGAGAGGTAGAGGACGAGCTCCAGTCGTAGCTCCCGGCCAGCAGCGCCTACGTCGAGGACTCCTCCTCCGCTTCTTGCGTGTCTGCTTTTTGACCTTGCGTTGGGTTCATCCACCGCCAGCCCCCGTCTGCCTCATGTCCGCTAGGCGGATATGCGACCTAAACGGACAAAATGCGGACAAAATCCGCGTCCGTTTGGGTCATTGCGTTGGAGTTGCTCTTAAGAGCATCTCCAACGGCCGCACAAAAATCTCACGCCCAATAAAAATTATAGCGCGCCACTTTAGCACTTTTAGTGCGCCGGGACCAATATTGTTTTAGCAGACGCCCAAAGACGCGCGCCCAAAAAGCAGACAGTGCAAATTGTGAAACGCGCGCAATCCGGAGCCTAAAATATGCTGCGCGTGATAGCGTTTTTCAGCGCGCGCCCAAAACTTTTTAGCGCTACAACATCTGCTGGAGGTGTTGGGCGCCCCAAAAAACTAATTTTTAGTGCGCGGAGCTCTTTTTAGGCGTTTGTTGGAGATGCTCTAAACTACTACTAGTAGTAAACCAGTGCTTGAATTAGCCTAAGCATTAATGAGCATATATAGTGAGTTTGCACGTACGGGAGGGTGGGAGGAGTGTGATCGATCCTCATCCAGTGGTGCATATATATACTCTCTTCATTTTTATTTACTCTGCATATTAAAAAACTTCGTAAAATTTGATCAACTTTATAAAAAAATATAAACATTTTATTATAACAAATCAATAATGACTCTAATGCTATTGATTTGTTATTGTATATGTTAATATATATTTTTTAAACTTGTCAAAGTTTACAAAATTTGACTTTAATCAAGACTAATATACGAACTAAATAAAAACGAAGAAAGTACGTAGGTATATATATGACCACTGGTGTATTTTAGTCTTTTAGGTGCA